GAGAGAGAGAGAGAGAGAGAGAGAGAGAGAGAGAGTTTTGTTCATAATTAAAACATAAAAATAAAAATAAAAAAAATGCTTACCTTCATTTTGTAATATGAAAAACATGTAACTTCTAACCTACAAACCCCAACCTTGCTTAAGAGTACATTTTTTATCCATCAACAGTTGGGTTTGTGAATTGTGATAAGTATTGTTTACTGAACCCTAGATCCAATGGGAGATTTGGGGGTCTTCCTAAAGGGAGGGGGTCTGAGGGTACTTTAGCAATTTCCTTGTTGTTTCTGCGTCATCCTAATTCTATACTTATAAATACATGAAAGAGGTGCCTCTTGTAAGTTAAGAGAGTTGTATTGCTTTGATGATTTTTGTTTTTTGAGCAACAAAAGGCCATATATTGAAAAAACAAATACTATCAGGAAATAGGTAATTTGTAATAAATACATTAGGTTGGGAAGTGGTGGTTTCCATTATCTGTTGATAATGCAAAGAGATCAAAGATCTGGGAGGATATTATGGGTATTGCTAGGTCCAAGCCTAAGTTGGTGGAATTTTATAAAAATAACTCTAGTCTAAGGCTTGGGAATGGAAAAAAAAAATATTGTTTGGGTTTGATAAATGGATTGGTAATACGTGTTTGAAGGAGGACTTTCCTCGACTTTTCTCGTTATCTTCTGACAAACTTCACCCTGTAAAGGCATTGCAGATCAGAAGGAATGCTCAGGTGGAGTGGACCCTTAATTTCAGAAGATCATTATTTCAATGGGAGATAGAGGAATTAAACAGGTTGACAATAGTGTTGCTAAGTGCACCTGCTATTAGAAAGAATTTGGCTGATTGTTTGAGATGGAATACAGACCCATCAGGAGGTTTCACTGTGTCTTCAACTCATAAATGGTGTGAGAGATCTTTCGGTCCTGTGTATAAAGCAATAAATATTATATGGAAGAATGTGTCCTTATCTAAAGCTCAATTTTTTGATTGATTGGTTGGCATGGAAAAGAAGAATCAAGACTTCTAGTCATTTGCAAAGAATTGGGGTTCTTGCTGTAGGGGCTAATGTGAACTGCATTTTTTGTAATCAGGAGATGGAAACTGTCAACCTTGTGCTGGTCTTTTTCCCTTTTGTTTGGCAGGTTTAGTCTCATGTCATCTGTTGGTGGGGTATGCAATGGGTATTACCTGGTTCTGTTGGTAGTCTAATGGATTGGTAGGTCGATGCTATATTGTAAAAAAAGGAAAAGGTTATCTTGAAAGCTATTCCGATGGCTGTGTTATGGTCCATCTGGAAACAAAGGAATGACTCCATTTTTAATGGCATACAACCAGATCTGGTGGAGCTGTGTGAGGTCATTAAAGTCAGGGTTGCAATGCGGTTCAAAGTTGCTTGTTCTAAATTAGATTACTCTGTTTCTGATATTTTATACAATCTACAATAGGTGAAAAGGTGTCTTGGTTAATAGGGGATTCTGCCTGGGATAGTTGGAGATTGGTTATACTTGAGGTCTAGGCTTTGGAGACCAGTAGCAGGAGTTTGGTGGCAATATATGAAATGTTGTATCAGTAATAGAGGTTGACTGTTATGAAGCAAGTTTGGTGCCTTGAAATAGAAGTTATGCTTAGGTTTTTCTGGTTTTGAATGGTTGGTGTTTGATGCTTGGAAATGGCTGAATAGAGGATTGTTTGTTGGGTTTGAAATGGTTGTTGTTTTAAAAGGAGTTCACGGCAGCAAGGTTCTGCACAAGTCTCACTGCTCTGTTGTTGATGTTATGCTCAGGCCTTATTGTTGTTGTAGGATTATTTTGATGCTTGTATGCTTGTTTTGTTGTTCTGTTTCTTCTTTGGGTGTTTTTGATTGGCTTCTCACCAATCTTGGGTCAAGTGCTAGCATATGATTGTGCTTCCTTTGCGGTGCCAACCTAGTTGGGATTGTTAAGGTTAGGCTATGATGCTATATGCGCTCCCCTACTTTGTTGATGTAATTTCGCATGTATTATGCGTTTTTCATCAATAAAGTTTTTGCTTGCTGATCAAAAATTATTTATTTATTTATTTTTTAGCCACGAAGAAAACTTTATTTATTAAAATTCAATGTACAGAGAAAAACAACATCAAAGCGCTGTCATATTTTATTTATTTTAACAGTTTATCTTTGTAGTGTTGATAGCGCAAACTATAATATGTAAGGTTGGATTATACTCTTAAGGTAACGAGGAGCAACTCTTGATCCACCCAAAAATCAAAACAAAATCAACATGTATAACCTTTTAAAACTAGAAAATGAAAATGTAAAGAAAAAAATTTACTTATTTAAACAAAGGAATAGAGATGCGGTGGATAAGGAGTTACATGGGAGAATTGAAACCGTGGTGGTTGAGTCTGCTGGTAATAAGCTCGAGGGGAGGACAGAAGGTATTATGAAGATAGTTGGGAACATAAACAACGGCTATGTGTTGGATTGTCAGAAGAGTAAAGATCAGGTTGTCATGCTAGGTTTTGTAAGAAGCTTGAGTGGCTCAAGTTTACTAAAACATGGGGTGGAATTAGAAATGGAGGTGGCCCTTAGTAAGGAAGTGGGCCTAACAGGTGGGTTGGACCACAAGATGAAAGGGATGGTGGTGCAAGACCTGGGCTTGAAGGATGATTTTCAAGGTGGGCATCAAAGTGTATTAGGGCCTATGTCACGTACTTCATATTTGTCACAGACCCATGAAGGTGAAGTTTGTTCCAGATTGGAGGAACAGCAAAGCAAAGGGAAGAAGAAAATAGTAAGAAAATCAAATGGAAAGAAGGTTATAGAGATGAAGCCGGGTTACCTGGTAAAAAGATATGGCTATAAAGGGGCCATATCAAGTAAATTAGGTCCTAAAGGGGCACTATGGAGAGCAGCAGCTATGGCTTTTTTAGCATCATCTGAAAGTGAAATGGTTAGAGATAACAATGCACTTAAAGAGGCTTCTGCAACTTTACAAATAGGGAAACTATTGGGAGTAAAATGCAAAGGTAATGAAGATGAGGTGTTATAAAAAATCCTGGACTTAAAAGCAAAGGATAGAGAAAGAAAGGGAAGGGGTACTGATGCTGCAAGTTGAAATGCAGTTAAAGGGGGGCTGGGTTTAGTGATATTGTTTTATGATGAAGCTAATATCATGGAATGTGAGGGGTTTGGGTAGAAAGGAAAAAAGGAGTAAAATTAAAAGCATGATGAAAGCCAGAGGAGTTGACATTGCATTGTTTCAGGAGACAAAGAAAGTTTCTATGTCAAAAATGAAGGTGAGGGAATTATGGAGTAGAGAGATGATAATTTCATGACTGTGGATGCTGAAGGAACTGCTAGTGGTCTATTATGTATATGGGATCCAGGAGTGCTCCAAGTCTGAGGCTGCTGCTGTAGTTGACGATTCATTCTGTTATCTGGTACTTTATTCTTTTCTTTTGATTGTGTTATAGTAAATCTATATGCTCCAAATGAAATGGGGCAAATAGGGAAATTATGGGAGAGTCTGTTGAAGTTAAAGGAGGAGTCATTGGTGCTTGAGGGGTGATTTTAATTAAATCAAAAGCATTGGTGAGAGAAAATGGTGCTCTAGAAGGGATAAGGGTATGAAGGAGCTGAATGAATTCATTGATAAAAGTGAAGTGAATGATCTTCCGCTGTTAGGTAGAAGATATACATGGTGCAACTCCAGGGAAAGGGAAAAATGGAGCAAAATTGGCAGGGTTTTAGTGGAACTAACATGGTTGGAATCATTTAATCTAAAGTTGTAAGGGTTACCTAGAGCACTGTCAGATTATATCCCTTTACTCTTGATGGAGGATGAGAGAGATTGGGGCCCCAGGCCGTTTAGGTTTCTGAATGCTTGGACTCTTCATCCAAATTTCTTACCTTTTATGGAAAAGTGGTGAAAGGAGCATGATGTTCAAGGCTGGGCTGGATTCAGATTATTTAAGAAGATGAAAGAGTTGAAGCTAGCTCTGAAACAGTGGAATAGTGAAGTATTTGGCAATATAAATACTAAATTGAAACAAGCAAAAGATGAGTTGCATCAGATTGATCTGGTAGAAAAGGTTAGAGAGCTTGTAGAGGCAGAAAAAGCTCGAAGAAGAGAGGTTAGTGAAGAAGCTGGCAAGTTGTATAGAATGGTGGAGTGGATGTGGCTTCAAAAATCAAGACTAAATTGGGACTTGAAGGAAGACAAAAATACAAAATATTTTCATGTGGTAGTCAAAAGTAGGCAGGGGAGAAATGAGATTAACTCCTTATCTATTGGAGATGAAGTTTTTGAAGATCCTAATAAAGTAAAGCAGGAGGTTCAAGCATATTTTCAAAGACAATATAAAGAGGAATGGAGATCAAGACTTGTGTTGGAAGGATCTTTCAAGTCAGTTAGGAACAGCCCATTTTTTGATCTAATGGAATCAGAATTTTCTGAGGCAGAGATTAGGTGTGCTATTACAGATTGTGATGGTAACAAGGCTCTAGGCCCAGATAGGCTCAACTTGGCATGTGTCCAGAAGATGTGGAAGGTAATGAAGAGTGATGTGATCAACTTTATAAGTGAATTCCATAAAAACAGTAAGTTAGTTAAAGGGATCAATAGTTATTTTATCACTTTGGTGCCTAAAAAGGAGAATCTAGTGAGTTTAGCTAATTAGCGACTAATCACTTTGGTTTGCTCATTGTATAAGATTCTATCAAAGGTACTATCCTCTAGGTTAAAGGCAGTGCTCCCTCAAATTATAAGTGAAAATCAATCAGCATTCGTAGGAGGTATGAACATATTAGATAGTGTTTTGGTAGCAAATGAGGTGGTAGATGGATGGAAGAAGTCTAGGAATTTTGAGAAAGTCTATGACTTATTAAATTGGGACTTTTTGTTTTCAATGATGATAAATTTTGGGTTTGGAGAGAAGTGGATGGGATGGATTAAGGAGCGTATTACCTCTTCTAGACTATTTGTGCTTGTTAATGGAGTACCAACTGGTGAATTTAGTCCCCAAAGAGGGCTCAGACAAGGGGATTCCTTGTCCCCTTTTCTGTTCAACATAGTAGCTGAGGGTTTAAATATTTTACTATCAAGAGCTTTGGATATGGAATTGATAAAAGGGGTGAAGATTGGTGCAGGTGGGGTAGTGTTGACCCATTATAGTTTGCCAATGATTCCATCTTATTGCGTGAATCTGAAGTTTTGAAAGTCAGAAATTTGAA